CCGAGGGCGAGCAGCGAGAGTTTGCCGTAGGGCAGCTGGCTGAGATCGCGCCGCAGGCAGATCTCCGGGGACTCGTCGTGCAGGACGAGCTGGCGGTACGCGGCGGCATGGTGGAGCAGCCCGAGCTGTTCCAGATTCCACTCAATGTGCCGCGTTAGTTGGGCCAGCGTCGAGGTGTGCGTCACATTGGGGCAGTTGGCGATGCCGTTGCAGAGCAGGTGGCGCGGTATGCAGACCTGCGTGTCGCCGGGACAGCGGAAGTCACAGTCGCCATCCTGCAGCAGGGACGCGGCCAGACTACCGTCGGGATTGCGGGGCAAGTGGAACAGCTCGGTCCAGACCAGTCGGAAGATGTTCTTGCCCGGCTGACCGTCGCCCGTGTATTGGATGAGCACCGGCAGCGGCTCCTGGTCGGCGCCGGTGGCGCCCAGCTCGGCGGTGCTCAGGATGGGCAGGTCGCGGGCCAGCGATATGTTGTCCGGGCAGACGACGAAGCGCGGCTCCAGGCGCCCGGCCAGATAGACCTCGATCTTGGCGCTCTCGCAGCTGCGCTCGGCAAAGCGCGCCTTCTCCAGGTTCAGCCAGAGATCCCGTTGCGCGGCCACCTTCAGCTCCCAGATGCACTTCTCGCGCCGATAGTGGTGCTCCGGCGGCGCCATCGGGCCCGCCACCATGGCCAGCGCCTTCTTGTACGGAAAGACGAGCTCCCCATCCGGCGAGGGGCCCAGCGTGATGGGGCCGCACAGCGGGCCGTGGGCGAACTCGTAGGTCGCCTCGAACAGCGGATTGGGATTCTTGAAGTACGAGGTGATGGCGTGCTGGCCCTGCACAATCATCTCGAGATTCATCTGGTCCGCCGACGAGATGACGCGCACCGCCCGCGGTATATTGTCGCAGAAGCAGGCCAGGTTGTTCTGGAACTTGTCGCGCTCCTCCCAGATGACCAGCTTGTCCACGCGCTCCTCGTGGCAGCGCGTGCAGGCGTTGCTGTTGTAGGGCAGCTCCTTGAACGACACCGAGTTCACCTCGATTATGGCGCGGGCGTAGAGCCGTCGATCCGTCACGAACTTGTACTGGCAGCGGACGTCGCTGCCGCCGGTTCGCTTGAAGATCAGGGAGTTGAGCGGCGAGCGCAGGCGTCCGCCCGGATGCTTCCAGGCGTACATGACCTCGTCGCAGAGCGTGTTGGGCACCGGATCGCCGAACCGTGTGTTGTTGAAGAAGTCATAGTGCGCCCAGTAGTACAGTGAGCTGCCGCTATAGCTGCCCGTCTTCGACTCGAATTGGACGTAGAGCGAGGGGCTGGTGCTCACAAAGTCCACCTTCTCCATGGGCCGCGAGAAGGTGTCGCAGAAGGTCTTGATGATGCGCGCCGGATCCGCATGATCCGAGTCGTAGATGGTCAGCGACTCGCCGCAATCCCCCTCGTACCTCAGTATGGGCGACTCGATGCGATTGATGCGAAAACTGCAATGGGAACGGAACGACAATTGGAATATCAGGAATCCGTATCATAAACTACGCAGCCCCAAGCCGGAGGCTTCTGGCACAATGCCAAGCCCCTACCCAGTATATATGTATACTGTATACACAACTCCTATATTTTCTACGAGCCTCTACGTGCTGCCTCCTGCCACAATTTAATATAAATTCCGACTGGTAACAGGTAAAATCTCACTTTTTACGGGCACAAACACGTAGCCACGTTAGATGTGAGCTGCATTCGCAGTTGCAGACGAACAGGGAGAAGAAGAAGAAGAAGA